AGAAAAAAAGTTAAGATATGAAAAATATAAAAGCTATGAAATAAGCATATGAAAAACAGAAGTACACTATATTGTGCATCCCAGGTAGAAAAAAAAAATTGGAGGAAGCTACATGTAAGGAAATGATGAAAAATTTCCCCACACTAAATGAGACTCAAGACTGAAAAATGTCACAGAACGCCACAGAAACAAAAAGGAGAAATGCCCTAGATTATAGTGACGTAAATATATGAATGGCAAAGAGAAAACATGCCGTCTCTAGACAGAACAAATCTACAAAAGCGCAAAGATCGTACTGTCAGTTTCCAAAGCAACACTGGATACTGACACTGAATTATTATTTTTTAAATATTGTATTATATTATGTGTATGACTGTTATACCTGCATGTAGGTAAATGCACCCGTGTCGTGCAATGCCAGCGGAAAACAGAAGAGACTGTCAGATCCCCTAGGACTGGACAGCGGTTAGCTCCCTTGTGGGTGCTGGGATTCGAACCCGGGTCTTCTGTAAGACCAGTTAGTCTTCTTAACCACTGAGCCATCTCTCCGGTCTCCAGATACTGAATTACTGAAGAAAAAGACCTTAGGACCCGCATCAAACATTAAACAGCTTTCGGCCCAGAAACCCCAGACCGAGGACAGAGCCGTCAGGCCACTCCCCCAGGCACCCCCTCCCCACCTCCCCGCCTCTCCCCGCCTCTTCCCGCCGCTGCGTTCGCGCGTCCGCACGCGCGTCCTCCCACTGCGCCTGCTCGGCATGCGGACGCCCTACGTCCCGGAAGTGGGAGGTGTCAGCCTGAGTTTGTGTGGCCGCGGCCGCGGGAATTAGAGCTCTGTAGTTTTTCAAGGGAGAAAAGCTACTCTGCAGGGCTTGGGTGCCAGGGGAGGGAGCGATCCCCCGTAGCCGCGTCTCTGGGCCTGATAGGTGGCATGGCGGACGAGCAGCGCGACACCGCGCAGCCGAAGACGCCGCGGGCGGACAACGACGAGCCGCGGAGTGTGGAGGTGAGTCGCCCGCGGCCGGGGGTCTGCAGCGTGCGGGTCCGTCTCTGTAGGGCTCCCGCTGCGTGTGGTCCACGCGGTCGGGGCAGCATCCTCGGCTGGACGGGACCAGTCCCGACCACAGGTTCGGAGCGGGAGTTCTGCGTGAGCTGTCTGTGTTCCGTCTCCCCGGGGCTGATTGGTTCGTTGTTTTCTGAGCCCTGGCCGAGCCTCTGGGAGATTCTACCCCCCCCCCCCCCCCCCCCCCCCCCGCCAGCAGAACGCCGCTGCCGCCTGTCCCTGAAGCTTCCACCTCTCTCCCATTCCCTGCCCTCATCTACAGAACCCAGCAGTGACTGGCTTTCCAAGTCATTTTGGTATTTCACTACATCGTAATTACAGTAGCAGTTCATCTTAACGAATTATTGTTGCCTCGCGCTGCGGACTGTGGATGTAACACCAGAATGACTCAGTTTCTCATAATAATAAAAGTTGAGCACTTCAAACAGTGGAGTTCGCCAGGGACTTCCTGTAGTAGCCCGAACCATTCTGCCATGTTCCGAATGGCACTAGTGTAGGTTGCTGCCCCACGCAGTCCTACCTCCTGGGTCTGCTCACTGCTTATAGCGCATCTTCTTCCTTGCTCTCCATTGCTCAGCTTCCTCATGTCCTGTAGTGGAAGGTTTTCCTTTAGGGTCATATGCTCTCTTGCCTGTGTGCCCTTCCAACCTGGACCTTTGCATAATTTTATTTTGTTATCCTTTATAAGTTAGAGGCCTGTATTTGCCCTTTCTGGAAAGAACCCCCGTCCTACCGCATCTCCCTCTTCATTCTAATACATTTTGTCAATAACATCATCTAAGTCAGTTTCCAAGTTTGTTTTTACAAGAGAAGTATGAGTATACCTCATTGTATTTGAAAGTCTTGAAACTTTGGGATATACTGCCTTGAAGGCCAGAGTCTGTTCCAAATTGGTTTTAGTGGCTGTCATGTTTGTTAAAAACTTACTATTGATTATTTGTAAACATATATTTTTCTTTTATATCAGCCAAAGTTGTTTGTTGTGGATGGGATTCGGTTAAACATTTCCATCTCTAGTTGCAGTGGTTGATGTAAACTAGTGCAATTACATTTTTATATTTTAACAAGTACTTCATATTTCATTAAGTTTTTCTCAGTATTAAAAATTTTTTTTTTTGTGTGTGTGTGTGTGTGTGTGTGTGTGTGTGTGTTTTTTTTTTTTTTTTTGAGACAGTCTCCCTGTAGCCCCAGGTGGCCTGGAACTATTTAGCAATTGCTGGCCTGTTTCTGAAGGAGAAAAGTATTATGGGTCCTGTGAGTTCTTTGGCACAACACCTAGCAGTATGTTACCAGTAAATGTGTCACATTGAGAACTGAGAGTGAGAAGTAATCCTTGGTCCATTGAGATCATTTCTAAGTCAGGGACTGCAGACTATTTGTGGTTATTCTTCTTTATTATTCTGTAAGTTCACATGAAACAAGATAGAAAATTATGGCCACGTGAGCATTAATATATTAATAATAAATGACAAAGTCTTGACAGTTCCAACAGTCCATGGAGAAAATAATTAACTTCTAAATTAAGTCCTTGGAAATCAATATACTTATGATTTAGGTCTGCTTATGTAGAGAATAGAGTGGAGATATGTGATTTAAGAGATAAGAGAGCTGATGAGGTGGCTTAGTGGGCAGAAGCACTTGCCACCAAACCAGACACCTGAGTTTGATCTGGGGTCCCACGTGGTGAATGGTGAGAACCCACTTCTGCCAAGTTGTCCTCTGATTTCACATGTGCATCCTGGCACACAAGTGCCCCCTCACCAATAAATATAATATTTCTTTTTATAAAAAAGGAAAGAAAAGTTTTGTAATAAGACAGTGCTATAGTTTTGAATAGCTGATATGTAAATCAAAAATTGTGAGTTTTGAAACTGAATAAATTCCCTTATTTGCCTTGGTACTAGGAAGTTTAGATCTGGACTGGCAGTCAAAAGAGACTTACTGGGGCAGATTCTGTTAATTTTATGAATTGAAGTCAAGTTAAAAATTCAGGAAGTCACTATCTCATACATGCGTAATGTTGTAAAAGGTCATTTAAAATTGGCTTATTTAAGAGTTTGAGTATATTGTTTGTGAACAGATCTGTTTTACACTCTGATGATCATAAGTAAAATTCCCATTTATTAGTTACTTCTGGGTATGGCATTAAGAGCTTCTAATATATAGTAAGTGCTGCATAAATACTGTTTACCATTAACCAAATACCATTTGAGATAATTATACTTCATTTTTATAGGTGGGGAACTGAAGGTCAAAGGCTAATAACTAGCCAAGGCCATGCTTACTAGTAAATGGCCAGCTGAGGCTCTGCAATGTGCTGGCTCTGACTCTTCCATCAGTCCTCTTTAACTTAGCCCTACTGCCTTTGAGGCCTCTCATGACTCAGAATAAAGCAGGCACATTGCATTTGAAACACTTTCCTCTTCATGCCCTCCTCCAAGAACTCCCGTGGGTACTTTGAACATGTAGCCCGGAGAACCCACAGGACTTTGCATCATTAAAATGTATTTGTGCTAATCATCAGTTAACCTTCTTCCCTTTTTCCATAGAAAAAACAGCGATATAGACTTGATGGCAAGGAAACAGATGGATCTAAATTCATAACCTCCAACGGAAGTGACTTCAGTGACCCAGTTTACAAAGAAATTGCTATTACAAATGGTTGTATTAATAGAATGAGTAAGGAAGAACTCAGAGCTAAGCTTTCAGAATTCAAGCTTGAAACTAGGTAATTAAAACAGATTTTTAACCTATTACTTGGTACAGTTAATATATTCTAACTTTTAAAAACCAACAAAAAGAACTTGAATATTATAAAATTGGTACCTGCTCATTTTAGAAAATCTTAAAAATACTTAAAAATTAAAAATGATTTTTTTATTCCTACCATGACATAACAATAACTCAAATGCTAGTTTTTGTATCATGTATGTGTTAACATAGGGTGGTATGGATATGTTAGTGTGAATGTGTGTGTGTGGGGGGGGTGTGCATGTGCCTACAAATTTGTGTACTTGTGCTAGGTTATGTTCTGAAATGCCAGATATATTGAAGAAAGTGCTTATTTTATGAAGGAATGTGTTCATGTCATATTAAATATTTTGTTTTCGTTAGCTCTTTGTACTAACTTAGCTTTGAGGCTTACTTTCCTTATATTTTAGCTAGCATTTGTTAAGTTATGCTGTGACTGTGACTGTTGAAATGATTACCAGCTGTTAAGAGTTCTTATTACTGACCATAACATTTACTTTTATTTTTTAATTTAGAGGAGTCAAGGATGTCCTAAAGAAGAGACTGAAAAACTATTACAAGAAGCAGAAGTTGATGTTGAAAGAAAGTAATTCTACAGACAGTTACTATGACTATATTTGTATTATTGACTTTGAAGCTACTTGTGAAGAGGGTAATCCAACTGAGTTCATACATGAAATAATTGAGTTTCCTGTTGTTTTATTGAATACACATACCCTAGAAATAGTAAGTGAATTGTTTCATTATCTTATTAGGAGCAGTTGTTCTGGTGTTCAATAAATTGGAATCTCTCGTTTGCCATTTTAGCTAGAAATAGAATTCTAAAGAGATTTTTTTTTTGCTTGTTGCTAAATCAACCTGATTAACAGAAAAACTCTATTAAAACAGTTTCAGAAACTACTTTTCTTCTTCCCCTGAACTAAAATTGTAGTGCCTTTCTGTTTGCTTAAAACACCTGAATAGGTATCAATCTCCTGAGGAATGAAAAACAAAGTGAAAAAATCCCAATGTCTGGTCACAGAGATAAGAATTTAGTTGTTCTGTGGAAGGGCACCTGGCGTTAGCACAGTTTTAAAAGCTTCTATGATACAGGGTCACTGCTACAGTCTGCTGGTTACCCTGATGTCTGAGAAATCATAGCTTATAGAAACACTATACCGTTAACCTCTAAACCATGTAATATGTACGTGCCAGGCAGTTGTCATCACTGCATTGTTCATAGAATGAATTCGTCCAAATACCATTTGCTTTATAAAATCTGAGTTATATGTTATCTCATCTCTTTAAAAGTCACTTCTGTTATATCACCTACACGACCACTACACTGATATAAGTACAGAAACATGTCGTGTGTAATAATACATAGATTTTTTTTTTTTCCCTCCCTGTTCAAAGCGTCTTTTACAAAGCCCCTTAATGGAGGTTAGGGGACAACTTTTAGGAGTTGACTCTCCTTCTACCTTGTTGTAGCAGGGCATTTTATTTGTGCTACCCTGTGCACTCCAGCCTGTTTCTAAAATTGCCTTTTTAAAAACAGATTAATAGTCAATTAATTAAAAGAGAAAATGGCAGCTGTGAAGGCAAATGACCTTCTATAACTCATTAGATTTTACTTCTCTGACTGACATGTAACACCATAAGAAAGTCTTCATTTTGTCCTAGTCTTTTGCCAGCTACCCCTTTTGTTTTTTGTTTTTTTTTTTTTAACGGAGAAATTATGCAAAATAAGTTATGTACTTCTGTCTCCATTTTTTTTCTTCCCATCATTTCTTAAACCCATTTCACTCAGTTATGTTTAAACTGTGTATCTGCTTTAAGACTTTCATTTGTGTTTGAGTGTGTTATGTATGTGTATGATGTGTGAGTGCAGATGTGTGCATTGCTGCAATGTATTCGTCAGAGGACAACTTTTGCAGAGTTGGTTTTCTCCTTCCATCTTGTTGGGGCAGGGTCTCTTACTATTTCTGCTGCCCTACCTGCCCCAGGTTAGCTGGCCTGTGAGCTTCTGAGAAATTCTCTTGTCTCTACTTCCCATCTTGCTATAGGAGAGCTAGGATTACAGACATGTTCCACCACATCTGGCTTTTTTATGTGTGTTCAAACTCAGGTCCTTGGGCTGCATGGCAAGCACTTGTACTTGCTGAGCCTTGTGTCAAGGTCATCTATGATTTTTAATAAACTTCTTGTAGATTTAACTGTTCTCTCAAAACATTTTCTTCGTAACTGTCGTTAAACTTCCTTTGTCTTTGATTTTTCTCTGGGCCTCCCAGATTGTCCCTTAGTAGTTCCTTTGCTGATTCCTTCATAATAGTGGATTCCTCATGGCTCAGTCCTAGCTCCTATCTGCATGTACTTACTCTCCCTTCACAATTATCTTGTCCATAGCTCTTAGGGACTGTCCTTTTTTTTTTTTTTTAAATGACTTATTTTAAATAGGTGGCTCCAATCTGGATCTCTGCCCTAAATGTGGGCTACTTGTTTGCTCTCCTTGGACATCTAAACAGGAGTCTTTACCTAAATGTATCCCTGTTCTGTCTGTCTTCAGCCTTCTTTAACTTGGTTGATGACAAGTCTTTGTATTTGTCATCTCTCATAATTTCTTGATTCAAAAAATTTAGAATCATCCTTGACTTCAGTTTTTCTTTCATATCATCTAAAATAACTAGTAAGTCCTTTTGGATCTGCCTTCAAAATATATTTCAAACCTTTTACTACTTTTTTTCTTGGGGGGGGTGGATCTTTTTGAGACAGGGTCTCCCTGTAGCTCCAGCTGGCCTGAAATTCTCTTATGTAGACCACGTTGGCCTCGAACTTACAGAGATCCACCCGCCTGCCTCCAAATACTGGGACTAAAAGTGTGTGCCACCACACCCAGCTCATTTTAGTCTTTTTAAGGCAGGGTCTCCCTGTAGCTCCACCTGGCCTGGAACTCACAGAGATCCACCTGCATCTGTTTCCTGAGAGCTGGGATTAAAGGTGTGTAGAGGCAGAACCTAGTGTTTTGAATGAACTTCTGTGGCTCCAATCTGAGCCCCAGTTGTTTCTTACCTGATTTACTGTATTTGCCATCTGGTGAGTCTATTTCTAGCCTTTTTAATAGTCAGTTTCAATATAGTGGCCCTATGAATCCTTTGAAAACCTTGTCCTGGCTTCAGATTTAACTCTTAAAGTAAAAGCCATGTTCTTTGTATGATCTGGCCTCTTTTTTACCTCTGATTACTTCCTGGTTTATTTTTATTTTATGTGTATGAGTGTATTGCCTGCATGTGTATAAGTGCACCCATGTTGTGCAATGCCTAGGGAGATCAGAAGGGAGCTTTGGATCCCCTGGAGCTGGAGTTACAGATGTCTGGTTGTTAGCCACTATGTGGGTGCTGGGAATCCAATCTGTAAGAGCAGTCACTGCTCTTTAACCACTGAGCTAGTGCTCCAGCTCCTGCTTCCTTCCTTATTTCTTTTCTTTATTCATTTATTATTTCTTTTTTAATCCATTCCAACCATACTGACTTACTTGCTTCTCTTTTCTGTGCCAGGCTTTTTCCAGCCACTTATTTCCTAGGACTTGACCCTGGTTCTTCCCCTGACCCCAGAAGTTTTGCTGGCTGATAACTTGCTTTCTAGTGCTTTAAATCTTACTCTAAATAAAGCCTACCACATTATCTTATTTAGTAGGTTAACTTACAAACATCCCTAGGTAGCTAGTGTTTGTGGTCCTCCTTCTCTGACCTACTTTTACTTTTATATGAATAAGTGTTTGATTTATAGGTCTCTATAATATGATTGTTAGAAATGGAAAAAAAAATTGTCAGTGTTTGTTGCAATATATTAGTATTACCTGATTGTATTGGTAAAGGCAGTTACATTTTTGGAAGATTTTTATTTAAAGTTATTAACAATGGGGCTAGCAAAGTGGCTTAGTGGGTCAAGCTGCTTGCTGCCAAGCCTGGCAACCTGGAACCCACATTGAGGAGAGACAGAACTGACTCCTGTAAGTTGTCATCTTACTTCCACACATGTGCTCTGGTGTACACAGGGAATAAAGAAATGTAAAACTTTAAAAAGTAAAATTATAAACAAAATGTTGATACTTCTAAAGGACTTTTATAAACTGTATTTGGCAATATTGGAGAAAGGGAGGCAGGCTCAAAGGCAAGACCATGTAAATGGTATGGCATCTAGGGTCAGTGCAAGCTTCAGACAGACTTATGAAAGCTCAAGGACATCTACAGATCACAGTTATAAAATAGGATTTATTCAGTGGAACTAATAAATGACAGCGTATATGACTGTCCATAATTGCATTGTACAGATACATGAGAAAAATGGCTGGTATACTCCTCCAAAGGAGTGTGGCTAAATACGTTGACATATATCTGAACCAGTGTTGCTTGAGTATACAGGCATAAGCTCTGAGTGCCTCTTTAACACCAGTATGGAAAACATTAGCTCATAGGTACTTAGTGGACAATCTGGCAACTGACATCCAGTATAAGTTATAGCATTTCATTTTGCTCACTTTAGGAATCTTGGACTTAGAAGCCAGGGCCTTTGTTGTTCCCGATAAATACACATGGTGGCCATTCCTTACACCTTTCTTGAAAAGTGGAATCTTTTAAGCAGGAAAGTCAGTATCAGTTTATTGCAGTTGTGATTTTACAGTAACCTTATATTGAACTATATATATTATATATAGGGTATGAATATTTGCGAAATAGTGTCCCATTTAAGAGCCAAGGTTTAATTGATGGTCAGTCCTGGTTTAGAAATTTTAGGTCTCTAAACCACTGCCTTTTTAGGTCTAAAGTCATTTTATTACCAACATGACATGAAACCTAGTCATTAAATTATTATACTTTTTTATGGCTGTGTGAAGGTTTGAACTATTTAGGCAAAGCTAAGCAAGGCAGTGTCACTTAAGGCTTGTGAGTAGTAGTTTCCATGGGGCAGCTGAGTCTTCCTGGGCTGAATATGTTGTTTGTTGGTTGACTATTTCTTATGAAGAGCCACGGTAGAGAGCTTGGAAGTAATTTCAGATATGAAATCATTTTACCTTTCCATTTTATTAATGGGTGTTGTAGTTATTTGCAAGCTTATAAACTTAAAGGGATTGGCATGAAGACAGACTCCTTGAGTAAAAGTGACACAGTAAGTACAAAACACCTAATTTGGAGACCCTTAAATTCTTTGCTATAGTCGTAAGTGGCTTTTGCATTAAGTCTAATAGAAACTCTGCATATGTTAATTCTTTTATAAAACTTAATATAAATCAAGCGTATTTTGCATTTTGCTTACCTTATCTGAATCAGTACTCTTTGGTTGGTAATAGATTCATTTTTTTATAAACTAATGTGACTTTAAAATTCTAATTATTAAGCTTTTTTAAAAAAGTTCTTTGCTGGTCTTTGCTTTTTCTCTTTGACAATTCTTCCATTAGCCGCCATCTGCTTAACAGATTGTTATGTAGTAGAATATGTTCTTAAGAAATATCTTAAGGAGTATAAACATTTGACATTCTAAATTTTTAAACTTCTTGGGGCTGGGGAAATGGCTGAGCAGTTAAGAGTACTTGCTGCTCTTATAGAATACTGGAGTTCAGCTCCCAGCACCATGTCAGATGTCCCACAACCCATCCATTCATAACTCCAGTTCCAAGGGATCTTCTGGCCTGTGTGGTCACATACACACACGTGTGCACACACACACATAAATAAAAAAATTTTTTTTTAATTTAAACTTTCTCTTACAAAAAAATAGTTCTTTTTATCCTAAGATAAACATTTACCATCTTTAAATCTTCAGTCTTTGAAATTTTTCTTAATTTTCAAAAGATGACATTGGGTTCTGGTTTAAGGAAGTAGTGTCAACTAGAAGAAAAGCACTCAGATCAAAATGCTAAGGCTCACCTAGTTGTTTGCAGAGTTGGGAACATAAAACATGAAGACCAACATGAAAACTTGAAAGATGTCAAACATGTTACAAAATTAGTATTGTCAACCCTAAAACTATTATGACATAGTAAAATTTTGACTTCAGAATTTAGTTTCATTAAATATTTATGAAAATAAAGAATATCCAAGAGTAAATGAGAGTCTAGTAGTCTGGAAGTGAGTTCTTATAATTGAAGTCTGGTATTTCTTCAAAAGAATATATTTTTCAAACTTAACTATCTTGGCCAGGAGTGGTGGTGCATGCCTTTAATCCTAGTGCTCCAGAGACAGAGACAGATAGCTCTAAGTTTGAATTCTAGTCCAGTCAGGGCTGCATGGTAAGACACTTTCTCAGAAACAAACAAAAAAAGAATTGTTGAAGCTTTTTAGAGTGCAGATCGCATTAATAGGCTTTATGGTTTTTAAAAATAGTACAAACAAGGTGACCAACATTTACACCTTAGGAAATTGTTCACCTAAACTTTGGTTTGAAGGTGCACTTTCAGATACTTGCTAACTTAAAATTTTAAAAATCAAAATAAGTGATGTTTTAAATTTAAAAACTGGAGAGCTTTTTGTTTGGGAAATTTTCCTTAAGAATTCTAGTGGGACCTTTGCTATGAACTCTTATAAAATTATGATTTGGTATGACTTAATTTTTTTGTGGGTAGTGTGTTATATACCATAAGCCATAGGATTTTGACTTGTTATCTTCCCTTGTAGGAAGACACCTTTCAGCAGTATGTAAGGCCAGAGATGAACACACAGCTTTCTGATTTCTGCATCAATCTTACTGGGATCACTCAGGTGATAATTTGTTTTATTTTTGTTGTTGTTGTTTGTCATTTGTTTAAACCTTGAAAGAAAAATTTAAAATAATGATTTATAGATAATTTAAAAATTGTTCTTATGAGCAATTTAATATGCTGTTTTCCTCCTTGGTAAAGGTCTTTGTGTAATAAAACTAAACAAAAAGCCTTAGAGCTGAGTGTGGCAGTATGTGCTCATAAGCTCACCTGAAAAAGCAGAGAAGATAGAGTCAAGGCAAGAGGACCTCTTGAGCATAGACGTTTGAGACCAACTTGGGCAACATAGAAAGACCTCATCTCAGAAACAAAAGTGAAAAAAAGTAAAAACAAACCCCCCCCAAAATGGAGATGGCTCAGCACTTAAGAGTTCTTGCAGGCTGTTCTTGCAGGAGACCCAGGTTCAAATCCCAGCACCCACATGGAGTCTAATAAGCCTCTGTAACTCCAGTTCCAGGGGATCTCACGCACATTCCTTTTAAGGAATCTTTTTTTTTTTTTTTTTGGCGGGGCGGGGGGCTCTTTTGGAGACAGGGTCTCTCTGAAGGCCTTAGAACTCTCTGTGTAGACCAGGCTGGCCTCAATCTCACAGAGATCCATTTGCTCTGCCTCCCGAGTGCTGGGATCAAAGGTGTGCACCACCACACCTGGCTTGGTTTATTAGTGGGATCTATTATTATTATTAATTATTATTATTATTATTATTATTTCGGTCTTTTTGAGACAGGGTCTCCCTGTAGCCCCAGCTGGCCTGGAACTCACTATGTAGACCAGGCTGGCCTCGAACTCACAGAGATCCACCTGCCTCTGCCTTGCAAGTGCTGGCTCCTTTTAAGGAGTCTTAATCATGCACTAAAGATTTCATTTGTAAGGGGCTAGAGAGTGGTTAAGAACACTGACTCTTCTTGCAGAAGACCTGGGTTTGAATCCCAGCACCCACATGGCAGCTAACAACTGTCCGTAACTCCAGTTCCAGGGGATCCAACAGCCTCTTCTGTCCTCCGAGGGCCCTGCACGACACGGGTGCACTTACCTACATTCAGGCAATACATGCATAACACATAAAATAAAAATTATAAGTAAAATGTTTTTAAAAAAGATTGCATTTATCAAATGGAACATTAGTGAAGTGTTACTGTCCTGCACTCAGAGAAATTTTAGAATGTGTCTGTGTATTTGTGTATAGTCTTGGCTAATACAACTTCTGTCGGTTTATTTTTTTAGATCTGTGTTTTGAATTGTCTTTTAATGTTGTAGGCATTTGTTAACTTACTTAGTTCATCCATTTATTGATTCACTCACTCTTCCCATAATTTAGTACCTATTGTAGTATATGCTTGGGAACTAGGGATTCAAAGACAGTTTCTGCCTCAGTTTCTTATAATTAAAAAAATTTTTTTTAACTTTTTAAAAAATTTTATTATTTTATGTGTATATGTGTATTGCCTGCATGTAGGTAAGTGCACCTGTGTCGTGCAGTGCCCGTGGAGGTCAGAAGAGGCTATCGGATCCCCTGGGACTGGAGTTACGGATAGCTTTTAGCTGCCATGTGGGTGCTAGGATTTGAACGCAGGTCTTCTGCAAGAACAGTGTTCTTAACTGCCAAGCCATCTCTCCAGCCCTATTTTTTACAAATATTTTTATTTTACATGTATGAGTGTAAAGTCTGCTTGTATGTAAGCTCACCCATGTCATGCAGTGCCTTTGGAAGTCAGAAGAGGGCATCAGATCCCCTCGAACTGGAGTTACAGATGGTTGTTAGCTGCTGTGTGGGTGCTGGGAATTGAACCCGGGTCCTCTGCAAGAGCAGCCAGTGCTCTTAACTGCTGAGCTATCTCTCCAGTCCCATTTAAAAATATTTTTTTTTATTTAGTTTTTTATAATTTGTAAACCAGGAGGGCAGACAGAATGAGGCAGTGGTCACAATATGGGCCACAGGGTATTGTGGACATCTATATATAGGACTTCTATTTGTGATGAAGGGAGGGCCCCCTATCCTGGAAAAAGCTACTTCATATTGGTGAACTTGGGTTGAGTCATGATAGATGACTAGGTAGAGAAGAAAGACTGGGCATTTCATTTCATTTGAAAGCAGTTCTTGGCTATAACTGATTTAATTGTCTTAAGGGAAAATTTAGGTGGTAAGTAGGTCTAAGTCATGGAAATCATGGGGTGTTTAAACAGGCCATTCTCATACTGCTTCTCATGCTCAGTTTATACCTGGGTCTTTGTAGGAATGCAATTAACTGCCCTGACTTTGCTTTCCTTTTACATCCCAGGATCAAGTAGACAGAGCCGATGCTTTCCCTCAGGTACTGAAGAAAGTAATTGATTGGATGAAGATGAAGGAATTAGGAACTAAGTATAAATATTGCATATTAACAGATGGGTAAGTAGGAAAATTATCTTTTGAAAACTTTTTAAAGAATAAAGATGGCTCTTACTCATCTAAATTCTAGAATATCCAGAAAAGTATTACTTACTAAAGATCCCCTGAAGTCTCCAAGCAGCGTTTTTCTTTCACATTCTTAATTCTAGTTAAATTTTCAAACCTAGGAATGAAAGAAAGGAGGGAGAACCAGAAAGAGAAATGCTAACATGCAGAACTAAAATGACCTTCCTAAAATCTGTTACTGACATTTGCTTGCTCACAAAAGCCTTCAGCTGGGCACCAAGGTTCCCTCGTCTCACCCTACCACCACACACACCTGTTCCGTCTGCTGGTACTCAGGTTGCCCATGTAGTCACATGATATGCCCTTCTCTGCATACTTCATGCTTTCTTCCTGCTGAGAAATCCTCTTCATCACTACCTTGTCCTTGTGTTTTACCCTGGCACTGTGACTCACATTGGTCTTTTCATTGTTTTTTATTAAGTCTTAGAGCCACTATGTTATGTACCATTCTAAGTATTTGATGTCTTGATTCTTTTTTTAGTGGGGGAGGGGGCGACGATTTATTTTGTAAGGATATTCCTTTCAGGGTGAGTAGTTTGGTAGTCTTCCATCGTGCTTACTGTAGCGCTGAGCTCAGAGTACATACCCCAGAAGTATTGTTAAGTGAAAAGTTAGAGGAGAGTTGGGTATGAGGACACTCATCTATAATCTCAGCACTTGGGAGCTGGAGACAGGAGAATCAGGGATTCAAGGTCACTCTATATGGTAAATTTGAGGCAAGCCTGGGCTATATTTTGAAATGATCTTAAAAACCCTCCAGAAGTTACATGGAAAGATCTGAAGAATTAAAGCAAGGATTATAGACATGGTACCAAGGTAACTGCACTACAGTGTCGGTAAAGGTAAAGAAAAAAGTCCTAAACACATTGCAGTGTTTTATGGGTTTTTTTCCTTTTTGAGACAGGGTCTCCCTACTAAGCTAGCCTGAACTCACTGTGTAGACCAGGCTGACCTTGAACTCAACAAATAATGCAGTTACATAAAACCTTAAATTCTGGGACAGATCATTCAGAACCTGTGTGTTTTTTGTAATTAGAGCATTAACAAAACAGTAAATGATAGCTCTAGAAATAAGCAGCTCAGAATCAGCAGTAGGGTCCTCAGAATTCACATTTGTTTATAATTTTATAGTGCCTGCATTGAGAGGCTTTTTTTGTTTTGTTTTGTTTTTTGTTTTGAGATAGGGTTTTCCTTATAGCCTCAGCTGGCCTGGGCCTTGGCCTGGCAGTTGAGGTGTTTTTTATTTACTGTGAAAAGTTCTAATTTCTACTGCTATTCTGACTGCCTAAGAAAAGCCGCATACGGACCAACACAATTCCTACATTGCACACTCAGTATTGACCTTCTTAACAATTATAAGCTCAGTGGTGGTATAGAAACTTGCTAGAGCAGACCAGGTTATATTTTAACTCCTTGAATTTGTCTGTCTACTATTTATTTATGTGCTTTTGTTTATGTCAAAACATACTCTTAAAGAATTTACTAATATGATAAACTTGATATTGCACATAAGCCCAACAGAGTTACAGAAAAGACCTTGGTAAGATGGAACTCTGATTCTGTCTAGGAATCACAATCACAGAGGAATCTGGATGATTTTAATAAGAATTAATTTATGAAGAAAAAATTAATATGTACAACTTAATTTTTTGTTTCCTTTTTAAAGTTTAAAAGAATTTTGTAGGAAGTAAGGGTAACTTTCTGAGCTTGATTTATGTATGAATATGAAAAAGTTAATGTATAAATTAAGAAATAGAATGACTTTATTTTTAGTAGTGATTGGCATTTAATTTTTCTCTCTTTATGTAAGTTCATGGGATATGAGTAAGTTCTTGAACATTCAGTGTCAACTCAGCAGACTCAAGTATCCTGCCTTTGCTAAAAAGTGGATCAATATTCGAAAGTCATATGGAAACTTTTACAAGGTAAAAATTTTACTTTATTGTTCTCTTAATGATAAGTTTGTTCTACTTTACATATATATTCAGTTGTGGTGGTTTGGGAGCTGTTTTTCACAGATAAAAGCCATCTAATTGCTACTTTTTAGATTCTCAACGTGTTAACTTTAATAGACTTAATTATATGACAGAAGGATATGTGGATTGCTAGTGGAACTAATGCCTACTGAGTTTTATTCTGTTTTTGGTTTCTTATGATACTAGGAATTGAACCCAGGGCCTCATGCCTGCTGGGCAAGCACTATATTACTGAACTTGCCCTTCCCTCCTCACTGATTTTAATTTACTTTGATTAAAGCTAATATGTGTGAGTAGCATAAATTTTAAAATAACACTCATGGCTTACAGAGATATGCCTTTCTTATCCTAACCCTTATCAGAACTGGTTCTTACTCTGAGGTAGATTCTTTTAACTGCTTAAAATGGTTTCTTCACATGTTTACCTTTATATAGTTGTTTGTTTGTTTGTTTTATTTTATTTATTTTAGATATACAGTGAAGTTTAAGGGGAGGGGGAATAGGAATAAAAAATCAAAGACCAAAGGATTTGCCAACATGGGGTCAACTTTGGAATAATGAAGGTTTCCATTAGCTCTGTTCTCTCTCTTTTTTTAAAATATTTTATTTATTTTTATTTTATGTGTATGTGTGTATTGCTTGCATGTAGGTAAGTGTACCCATATCACGCAATGCTCACAGAGGTCAGAAGAGGCTGTCGGATCCCCTGGGACTGAAGTTACGGACAGCTGCTAGCTGCCATGTGGTTTCTGGGATTCGAACCTGGGTCCTCTGCAAAAACGGTGTTCTTAACCATTGAGCCATTTTTCCAGCCCTCTCTCCTCTTTTTCTTTTTAAACTTTTATATATTTTTTAAATTGCATGTTTATACTGAGAGGTTTTGAAATTTCATTTTGAGATACCCGTTAAATTCCTATAATGAAGGATATTTTATCTTTATTAACAACCCCCACACACACACACACACACACACACACGCACGCACGCACGCACGCACGCACGCACGCACGCATGTATGCATGCATGCACGCGCGCTCAAATGTCCTTCCTCTCAACCTGCATCTTTATAGAATGTAGTCATTATCACTATAGTCATTACTGGTGTTTATGGCCTATGCAGAGGACTTGCAACCTTTCTCTCTACTGCTTTTTTTTTTGAGGCAGGGGCTCACTATGTAGCATTCGCTTGGTGAGAACTGTTTTTGTGTTTCCAAAGTGCTGGGATCGGGCCTGTGCAAAGCCGTTGGTTGGTATCTTCTGGAGCCTTTAATTTTCAATATTTTATTCTTTAGCCTTCTAAAATTCCTTGGGAATTTCCTTAACTTTTCTATCGTGTCTTGGATCCTTTGTTACCATCTTTCTCCCTTTACAACACCTTTTGGTAAAGTGTGTCCTAAAATAGTTTGATGCAAAAAAGGAACTTTTCCTTAAAAACTTAAACATTTTTTAAATTAAAGTTTAAATTGAATGTGTGCCTAGGCACACATGTGGAGGGGTGTGTGTGTGCGTGTGTGTGTGTGTATTTTTTTAATTTTATGTGTATGAGTATATTGCCTGTTTGTATATAAGTGCACCCATGTGGTGCAGTGCCCACAAAGGTCAGAAGAGGGTGTTGAATTCCCTGGAACTGTCATGGAAGGATGTTAGCCGCCTGTGGATACTGGGACTCGAACCTGGGTCTTCTGCAAGAGCAGCCAGTGCTCTTGACCACTGAACCATCTCTCTAGCCCCCTATCTTTGTTGTTTTGACATTTCTTTTAAACTGAGAAATACGCATACAGAACAGAGTCTGAGGAAACTTTTGAATGAATGCCCTTGTAACTGCTGTTCATCTAGCTTTCATCCTTTTTCACAGGTAACCCTGCTTTGTACTTTGATGGTAATGATTTTCTTACTATTCTTTATAGCTTTAATTTATGTATATCCTCATACCATATAGTTTGATTTTGCCAGTCTTTGAAATGATAGCATTTCTCTGTAATTAGCATTATATTGGCTGCATTGTTTACTTTGCTTTTATCTTTAACATTATACTTGAGAATCATCTATTGGGCTATATAGCTGCCATTTTCTCACTTTATTGTGTTATAGAATTCCCTGGGTGAATATACGCTTTGGTTTATTTGACTTACCATTTATTTTGTGGGATTTTGTTTTGTTTTTACTTAGTTTCAGACTTTTTTCAGCAGTGCTGCTGTAAACATTCTTGTACAAGTCTTCCGGCACTTTTTTGTACTCTTTTCTTTGGGGTATAAACCTAGGAGTGGAGTTGCTAAGTCACAGGCTGTGTGCATCATTGAGATTACTAAATAATGCAAAAATAGCTTTCCAAAGGAGAGCCATCACTGCTCTCTCATAAGCAGTGTTGAGTATACAATAAGTAGGTCTATATCTTTGCTGCCATCTGGCCTTGCTAGACATTTAGAGTTTAAATTTAATCTAGTGGGGTGTGGCACACTCTCATGAATGTTCTACATTGACGACTTTTTGTAGTCACTAGCCATTTCTTTTTGTGAAGTTCCTGTTTATGTCTGTTCATCCTTTTTTCTCTTAAAATTATTGTTGCATTTTGTTATTGGTTTAACTTGGGTTTTTTTTTAACGACTTATTAGTTCTTTGATTATACTTGATAATTTTCCTCTCTTTGTGGGTTTTTCTTTGCACAATTTTGTGAATTGTAACATTTTGTTATAGAAAATTCTAATTATATATAAAAGTAGAAAGGGGTAATGATCAGTGACTCATTTCTGGAAGTTATAAATTCCTAGACAGTCTTGTTTCAACTAAAGCCCCACTTTTCTTCTCCTGACTATTTTTTGGCATCATTTCATCTGTTAATATTTCATTATGTGCTCAGAACCTTGAGGGCTCTTTTCTGAAACCATTTTCATGATGCCATTATCACACCTAAAAACATAGCAATAATTCCTCCTGTCACCCATTTTTTTATAAATACTGTATGTTTTGTTTCTTATACTTTTTGTGTCTTGAACCAAAATCAGTATAAAGTTCACACATTTGCTGTAGGTTGATAACTGGTTTCTCTTTAGTTTTTTTTAATCTATAAGTTCCTTCCCAACTGTCCATTTTCCTTTAACAGTCATTTAACTTTTTAATTTAAAAAAAAAAGAACTAAATCATTTTGTCCCATAATGGTTTTAGTATTCTGAATTTTGCTAGTTGCATCCTGCTTATACATACTGTGTGAATTTGCATTTGGGTTTAAGGGCTTAAATCACTTTGAGGGGTTTTTATGCTACAATTTCCAGATATTCCCAGGGTTATACTAGTGCATTTTTATGTGAGGGTATTCTTTCTCAAATGTGTAACTTAGAGGAATAATTTTTGTATTTTAAGGCTTATTAATAAAATTTTAAGATAGTTTCAGACCTATATAAAATATGTGGCTTACTCTAATGTACATATATCAATGTAATCATAAAGTTATAGACATAATAAAATTTCCAGTGTTCTTTTGAGTAGATTATGGCCAAATTATTTAACTGTTCTTTTTGTGTGTGTGTGGTTTTCTGCTCTTTGTAATTGGCATTGCTCGTGTTAGTAGAAGAAAGCTGGATTCTTTATTTTAAAACCTTGTTCCTCCAAGCTAAGCATTTTGACACACATATGTAACTCTTGGAGCCTGAGGTAGGAGGTCTAGGCTGGCCTGGGCTATATACCATATATAGATTGTTTCATCCAAGTAGACCTAAAAGTCTGCTGGTGACATCAGAGGTGGATGGTTATTATGCAAGAGTTTGCCCCCCCCCTTTATTTTAAAGTTTAAAAAATACTTTTTTCTTGGGTGCATAGCAGAAATGGGTAATTCAACTTGATTAATCTCTTTATTTCCTCTTTATAAATTTTTGAAACTTATGTGGCAAACATTATAAATTTGATAAATTGGCTTAAACCAAAGTGAAATTTGATATTTCTGAAAGTAGAAATAATATGGATAAAAGTGGAATACTATGAATAAAAATGTAACTTCAGGCACAATTTATACACGATTATAGGGAAAACTCCTAATTTCTCCTTTTATATAGTATATTAGGCTCAAATATGGGCTTAGTATTTATAAAATTAAATGTTTCCCTTGTAGGCCTTATATTCATGAAAGTCCTGCACATTTCTTCTGTACAAATAGTCTATTTTGGAGATAGTTTGAGTTTGCATAGATTTCATTTCTACAGATGTTAAAAGTTTCTACCCTTGCTCTGCAATTGCTAAGCAATAACAAAAAACTTGGTAATACAAGTAGAAAGTTAGAAAATGCAGCCAGGCATGGTGGTACACACCTGTAATCCTAGCACTCAGGAGACTGAGTCAGTAAGATCATAAGTTCAAGCCCAGCCTGGATTACATAGAAAAATGAGAGAGAGAAAAGAAAAGGAATATTGAGAAAAGCAGTGGCATGTTCATTGCTTTTCTGTGAATGAGTAACTGACAGAATATTGTCTGCAGTAAATTTAGATTCCTAAGGGCAGAGCACTGAGTTGCATCTCTAGCTTAAAATCAGATTATTTGTAAAATGTTTTTTATCTCAGAGTGCAGTTTGTAGGCTGAGTAGAGAATTAAGAAAAGTCAGTTCTGCTGCGATGAAAGCATGTATTAAGGAGGTTAGATCTTAGAGCCCTCAAACCGGTCTGTAAAATCTGGCTTCTGTTTTCCTGCTGTTCATCTCAGATACCCTATTGAAAATTTTTCCATGCTAGAAGAATGGAAGTTTTGTGTATTCTCTGTCACCTGGCTTTGTATGTGTGTATGTGGCAGTGCAGGTGACAGAGGATCTCATGTATTCTAGCCAAGCAAGCTCTACCACTGATTTACAGTTATATCCCCAGCTGTCATCCAGGTCTTCACACACGTTTTTATGTGAATTCAGTGGAATGAATTAGTCTTTATTTAATGGTTAACTTTTCCTGACACTATCCAGAACTTCTCATTGT